CCTCCTGCCGGCGCCAGCGCTTCCCGGCAGGAGTCGGGACAAATCCCTCGATTGCAGCGCCTCGTGGTTTGTTTTTCTTCGCCTCCCTTGGCTGGCTGGTAGCCGAGCTCCCTTGGGGACACCAAAAAAACGGGAGCCGGGGGGCAGCTGCGTGACTGGGCTGCGGGAGCAGGTCCCGGGTGTGCGGGGCCGGAGCGGGGCTGGGAACGGGGTGAGGACGATAACGGAGTGAGAATGGGGATGGGCTGGGGATGAGGATGGAGCAAGCAGGAGAGTGTAGTGAGGATAGGATGGGGATGAGGATGGAGCAAGCACGAGGGTGCAGTGAGGATGAGGATGGGGTAAGCACGAGGGCATAGTAAGGATGGGGATGAGGATGGTAGTGAGGATGGGGATGGGGATGAGGATGGAGTAAGCACGAGGGTGTAGTGAGGATGGGGATGGGGATGAGGATGGAGTAAGCACAAGGGTGTAGTGAGGATGGGGATGGGGATGAGGATGAAGTAAGCACGAGGGTGTAGTGAGGATGGGGATGAGGTGCAGATGGGCCCCACAAGGGGAGGGGCCGTCAAGGCTGTCCCTGGGCAGCTCCACTGAGGCTTCTTTTGATTGATGCTATGGGATGAGGGAAAACAATAGAGACATGATAAATCCTTGATAGATACCCAGGGCAATCCTTTAATGTTATTTCTGTGTGCCAGCGATGCTCTTTTAAACAAGCCCCAAAATGTTTCCAGGCAGTTTGGCCTCAGCTCCCATCGCTGTGTGGTGCAGCATCTCCAGGCTGTGCTGCCACGTGCTCGCGCGTCCCTCGGCTGGTTTTGTGCCCAAGCCATGCTCTTTGTGTTGCTCATTTCAGCCTTGGCAATCATTTTCCTAGCAACGCCAGGGAGCAGGAAAGGAATCCTCTGAAATTAGGCTGCAGCTCCACACTGACATGAGTGCTGCTGCTTCGCAGATTTCCTAGTTAAAGATTCCGGGTAGAGATTCTGCAAATCTGACTACGGTGCCAGTGTCTGGCTTTGAAGTGAGGCAAGTCCTTGAGGCTTTATCTGTCTGCGAGGAGACTGTGCAAACTAATGAATGGCAATAAATTATCAGGTTAATGAGATGCACTGGGAAGTCTCCGTGCCTGGAGCTGAGGGAGGAGTCAGGAGCACCGCGAGGAGATGCGTGGCTCACTCTTGGAGCTGGGGGTGCCCGAGCTGCAGGCTCAGGGGTGTTGCTGGTGCACCCCCAGCCCCCGCCACCCTCCAGAGGCCTCTGCCTCTCCCAAATGACAGTTTTATGCAGTTGTAGAAGCCTGGATGCTCAGTAAACTTGTGTAATTGAAGGGAAAATACTAGGTCCTAGATGTAATGAAAGCTCAGAATGAGTAAAGCAGCACCTAAATAAACAAATCTTTTTTTTTTAAATGTGGGGCTTTTTTCCATTAGAGTGAGCAACTGCTAATCAAAGGAGGAAAAATCGTCAACGATGACCAGTCATTCTACGCAGACCTTTATGTGGAGGACGGTTTAATAAAGTAAGTTAAAAATTCATATTGGGTAACGTGATTTCTGAGTGCTGTGGAATTTGAGCATGGTTGCTTCCCATCATTTTCCCCCTGGAAATGTGTTCCTATTTTGAAAAACAAGGGCATCTTGTTAGAATCCTGTCAGGAAAGAGCTACACTGTAGTTCCACAGCTGGGAAGATCCAAGGCGCCGTCAGCCCAGGGAGCAGCCTCCCGCAGGCAGAAGTTGTTTTGGCGTCCTCCCTTCGGAGTGGTGGTAATTAACAGGAGATGTGGGTATCCTTTCCAGACAGATCGGGGAGAAGCTGGCTGTCCCCAGTGGCACGAGGACCATCGATGCCCACGGCCAGCTGGTGATGCCGGGCGGCATCGACGTGCACACGCGGCTGCAGGCGCCCGCCAGGGGCATGAGCTCGGCTGACGGCTTCTTCCAGGGCACGAAGGCAGCGCTGGCAGGAGGCACCACCATGATCAGTAAGGGGGAGCAGGGTCCTGCGGGCTGAGTGGAGCCTTGCCTAGTGAAACGCACTGCAAGAGATTCACCCTCGCAGCACATGGGTTAATTCTGCTGGAGAAACCAAAGCATTGCAAAGCTAATTGGAGGCATTATGTGCCTTGCAGAACCTCCTTCCATTGCTGCACACACATATTAGAAATACGTGGCTGCTTCTGCCTCACCTCACCAGAGAGTGAAACAGAAGAACACTTTAAGCAGCTTTGAAGGTGCTTTTAGCAGCTTTGCAAGTGCATTGCTATGAGTTTCTCAGCTCTGAGCACAGGCCCTGTTTTTGTGTTGATGCAAAATGATTTTACCTCTGTTTTGTTCCTGTTCTGACCCCAAGAACCGCTGTACTAGCTCTGTGTGTTACACAGTCAGTAGAACAGCCAGTGCTGCAGGGAATGAGAGCAGAGCTGCGGGAAGTGATGGACTAGTGATGCCCTGGAGCAGAAGTGTCTGAGGCTTGGCCCCCCCAGCCGCTCCCAGTGCTGTGCTGGGGGAAACAAGGCAGAGCAGCTATAACCTGGAGTTGGCTTGTTCTGTACGTTTCACTGTATCCTTCCCTAGGCAGTGCTGTAAAGGAGCTGGCTCTGCAGCGTTCCCCCTCGCAGCAGTGGGTGTCTCCAGGGGCGCGGTGCCTGTGGTGCCCCTGGTGCTCATGGTGCCTGTGGTGCTTGCGGTGCCCGTGGTGCTTGCGGTGCCCGTGATGTCCCCTCCCTGACCTGTCGGTGTCTCCCCAGTTGACCACGTGTGCCCGGACGTGGGCAGCAGCCTCCTGGCTGCCTGCGAGCAGTGGCGCAGCGCTGCTGACAGCCAGGCCTGCTGCGACTACGCCCTGCACATCGACATCCCGCGCTGGCACGAGAGCCTGAGGGAGGAGCTGGAGGCCCTGGTGAAGGACAAGGGTAAGGGCAGCGGTAGCAGTGACCCCAGACCCACGTGGTGGGCACTGCAGTGTGGGCACGAGGCTGTGGGGCAAGTGGTGACCTCCCTGTGCTCTGCTGTGTTCCTGGAGCCTGCGGAGGGGACTGTGCTCCTTCCTGTGCGGGTCAGACCTCCCCATCTTGGCGGTCTAGGATACCTTTGACAGGGACATTGGCATCGGGTTCCTGCCATAACATCTGGGTCATGTGCCCTTTGAGCAGTCGGCACCTGGCCATGGAAAGGGACTTTGGAAGCTGAAGCAATAGAGTTGGCCAGCCTGACTGATGTACAGAAAACATTGGAATAAAACCATCCAAGGTGAGGTTTACGGAGCTCAGCTCAGTGCTGGATGCGCTCCCACGCATCCTAGAGAGCAGGGCACGGCAGGAATCCATGCATTCATTAGTGCCTGCTGCCACCTCTGGAACTGCATTTTCCTTCAGATATGCTAATGCAGAGCTAAATGACTCCCGGTGTAATTTGTAGTCTTGCAAGCAAGGGTTTAATTGGCCAATTATCATAGAGATTTGCAGTGAATTTCCTATTAAAGTGTGGAGTGGCTGAAGTAGTGGAGCTATTCCCAGCTTGGCAGACACATGAAATACAGTTTATTTGTAATTGGATTGTCTTCTGCTATTGGATGTTGCTGCTATCCATATGAAATACAGCAGCAATTCATAGAACCCTAGACTGGTTTGGGTTGGAAGGACCTTAGAGCCCATCCAGTCCCACCCCTGCCATGGCAGGGACACCTCCCACCAGCCCAGGCTGCTCCAAGCCCCATCCAGCCTGGCCCGGAACACTCCCAGGGATGGAGCAGCCATAGCTGCTCTGGGCAACCTGTGCCAGAGCCTCAGCACCTCACAGCCAGGAATTCCTGCCCAATATCCCATTTAACCCTGCCCTCTGGCAGTGGGAAGTCATTCCCCATGTCCTGTCACTCCAGGCCAAAGTTGAGGATAAACCGTAGACTGAAGCCACCACTGGAGGAAGCCCCAGCCTGGGAGTGATGCAGCTGGCTGTGTATTCAGAGCCAGTCACAGAGGGCACCTAAACCCAGACAGGGACCATGGGGTTTTGGTTTTTTCGGTTCAGGCACACCCAAAGATAAGAGGTTTGTTGTCTTCCACAGCTCTCAGACTTTGGGGTCAGTTCCTGTAGGGACATTTCCCACTTCAGCCCTTGCCCTTGCTTTGCTTCCAGTCTAACCCTCACCAGCACAATCCCTGGTTCAAAGACCTCTGCTCAGCCCATGCCAGGCTGATGAGTTACCACTGGGACAGCAACCTCATGTGTCATTCTCTTCTCTCAAGGTGTGAACTCCTTCCTGGTGTTCATGGCTTACAAGGACAAGCTGCAGTGCACTGATGCCCAGGTAGGACAGCAGCATCCAGGGAAAGCCCCCACCCTCACCCTGAGCCTGGTGATGGCTCTGATGTTGGGCAACCCTCTGTGTCTTGGCAGATGTATGAGATCTTCTGCATCCTTCGAGACCTGGGGGCCATCGCCCAAGTGCATGCAGAGAACGGAGACATCATTGATGAGGTACAGTGTTTGTGTGCACTTCAGCTGAAGGTTGACCAGGGCACTGCGACCTGCAGCACCAGCCCTGCTTCTGCCTCTGCCCCTGCAGTGTGAGCTGGTGCCCCTAAGCCTTGCAGGGAAGGGGTGGCAGCATGTGCAGGCAGAGGATGTGCAGGAGGATCAGGGTCTCCTGCGGAATGTCCTCATGGATCCTCGCACACACGGGTTCCATCACAGCAATCTGTACCAGGGCTGTTTCTCACAAGCAGCTTGGGGGCTCCTGAGGGAAGACTGACTGCCTTAAGTGATGCTTTATTGTGTTATCTGTCTGGAGCACTTGGGAAAATTGGGAGGTTTGTATACTTTGCAGTGATGTCCATGGCTCTTGGCACTGCTTATCTGCACCACTGGCAACTCCTTGGTGATGCTGCCTCTGCTCATGGGCATTATTTTTCCCTTTTACCCACAGAAATGAGAATCTTGGCTCCAGCACACAGATACACGAGATGGAGTTAGACTGGCAGTGCCATTAGCTCTCAGCTGTGCCAGTGTTCAGTCTGGTGTGGGAGGAAGGTTAAACGGAAAGCCGAATCCAATCCTTCAAATGGGCTTATTTGAGCAAACAGGATAGAGGCTAATTCCCACCTCCTGGGATTTTATCTGAGAAACCTGTTCCTCCACTGGCTGTGGAGCACAACATGACCCCAGGCAGTTCAGTAGCTGCAGCAGTTTCTGTAAGCTGCCAGTGTGGTGACACTCACCAACTCAGAGGAGACGTGATAGGAATACAGGGAAATAAACATCCTCTAGGAGCAGAAACCTTGAAAGGATCCTGTGGGATCTGCGCCGTGGTGTTGGGTGATGTCCTTGCAATAATGCCAGCGGAGGGGGAGGTTACGTGGCAGACTATCACAGAGAGGGGATGGGGTGAGGTGTGTGCTGGACATCTGTGCTCAGGTGCCACGTGACTGACCTGGGGCACCCCAGAGCTCATCCCAGTGCTTGTCACCATGGGGTCCCTTTGTCCGTGCACCTTGGCGAAGTGCCCTGAGGATGGGGAATGCCATGGAGAGGTGGCACTTGCTGCACCCCCCTGAGAGTCTCCCCTGCCTTGTGCCCCCTCTGGGCTCCCGAGCAGCTCCAGGCAGGCTCAGGTGCAGGGGCAACACCTCTCCCTTTGCTGCACCCATGCGTCATGGCCAGCGCAGCCCCAGGGTGGGTGACTCCCCCCCTCCAGAACTGGGGTCCGAGGGGTGGGAAGGTCCAGAGGTGCTTTTGGCACAGCACAGGAACATTTTTGCAGCACAGGGTGGGTGTCTGGGACGCAGCCCCCACGGCCTGTGGGGTGGCCCAGGGAGGGACACATGGTACCCCTTGGGCATATCGTGAGTTTCCCCTCAGTCTTCAGGTGCCTCTGAGCAAAGCGTTGTGACCCGCGGTGCTCCAGGCAGGCTGTGCCCATTGCTGACTGCTCTCCCTTCCCCCTCTCCCCAGGAGCAGAAGCGGCTGCTGGAGCTGGGGATCACGGGGCCAGAGGGGCACGTCCTCAGCCGCCCCGAGGAGGTAATGCCCAGCCCTGCCCCGAGCCACGGTGCCGCGGTGCCACGGGCCCTGGGGCACCCTGCTCTGTTCTGTGCCCACAGGTGGAAGCAGAGGCAGTGTACCGTGCCATCACCATCGCCAGACAGGCCAACTGCCCCCTCTACGTCACCAAAGTCATGAGCAGGGGTGCGGCCGACGTCCTGGCCCAGGCCAAGAGGAAAGGTACGGTGCTGTGGCATGTCTGCACTCCGTTTGAGGCTCTAAGTGCCTCCAGGAATCTCGTGCTAGCTGCAGGATCTGAGAACTCGTCACCACCCGCGCGCTCTCGGCGTTCGGGGCGCCGCAGCTCGGTGCTGGTTTCCTTGGCAGGGTGTGCCAGGGCTAATTGCTCAGAGCTGGGAGGACTGGAGGGAATGTGCTCGGGACTGACACCTGCATTCAGCAGAGGCAGCTGAGAAACAGGATTAATTCCCTTGTGATCGTTTGTCATGAGCTGAATGAAAAGCAGATCTGGAGTAAGCTCCGAGTTCCGACTGGGTTTGGAGCAATCCTGTGGGGACACGGGCAGAGCAGGCACAGCCTCTGCCCCAGCCCAGCAGCTGCCAGGGGCATGTGTGCTCGGTTTAAAGGGAGGTGTGATGGCTCGTAGGGATGTGTTTGGTGTGAGGAGAGAACAGACAGATCCAGGACTCACTTTGACAGCATTTGCCTGAGATAATCTGAAGGATTAAGGTGATTCTGACACACTGGGAATGCTGAGATCAGTGGAGCTGTGGGGTGTGGTTACTGCGGCATGTCCGTGTGGGTGCTGTGCAAGGGCCATGTGGGGTGGCACAGCCTCCATCTCCCTGGGCTCTGCAGGCACAGTGGTGTACGGGGAGCCCATCACCGCCAGCCTGGGCACCGATGGGTCCCACTACTGGAGCAAAAACTGGGCCAAGGCTGCCGCCTTCGTCACCTCCCCCCCCATCAGCCCCGACCCCGCCACGCCGGGTCACCTCACCACCCTCTTGGCCAGGTGAGTCCCTGAGCACCCCGACCCATCCTACTGGGTGCCGTTTACAGCAGGGTTTTCCCTCTGGGTCCCAAAGCCCACAAGCCGTCGGTGCTGCTGGAGCCCCCTGAGCTCTGCCCTGTCCTCTCCACAGTGGGGACCTGCAGGTGACCGGCAGTGCCCACTGCACCTTCTCCACTGCTCAGAAGGCCGTGGGCAAGGACAACTTCACCCTCATCCCTGAAGGCACCAACGGCATCGAGGAGAGGATGTCCGTGGTCTGGGAGAAGTGTGTGGTAGGTGCTGGGAGTGAGGCAGGGGGAGCACACGTGAGCTGTGCCTGTGCCCAGGGCTGTCACCAGCCTCGTTAGTGCAGACAAGCAGGGAGGGCTGACACTGTCTAGACGCCGCTGCAGCTTCAGAGAGCTGCTGACGAGAGACTGTGACACACAAATGCCTTCACAGAGACTTCAAAGGCTGCTGTGTAGGGACCATCCTCCCTCTCAGTCATGCTCACCAGGCACAGTCTCTCCAACGCGTTTTCCAGGGGAGATGGGGGTGTTCGTCCCCTGGCGCTCACGGGAGTCCTGGGGGATGGGTGGGTCGGGTTGTCTCTCCCATGTGGCTCCCGTGCCTCGCACTGCCCAACCACCCCAGGCCCCACTGCTGGGAGGGTCCCTGCAGCTGGGCAGTGGGCTCTGGTGCCAAGGGTGCCCTCCCCACAGCATGCCTGGGAGGCTCCAGCGTGCATCCTGCAGAGCACACACCTCTGTGCACTGCCAGGAGCTTGGGAACAAAGCCACCCCAAAAAACTCTCCTACGTGGGCTTTGTTAAGGAGAAATAGAATCCATGTCGAGGTGGTAAATGAAGATGATAAATAGCAGTGCTCAGGTTCACTCTCAGTCTGTCTTCACTGAACTATCCTTAACCAGCTTCAGTGACTGTGAGGTGCTTGTACAGAAATTAGAGCCAACCAGTGATGGTCTTGTTTTCAGAGACCTTAAATTTCAGGGAACATGAGAACTGTCTCTTGTTTCCTTTGGCCCACAGGGGCAAGGCTCAGCCTCCATTCCCGTTCCCCTGGGCAGTGCAGATCCTCACAGCACTCAGGCGTGGGTGGGTCCGGCGGCTCCTCCTGGCAGAACAGCACAGGTCTGGCCAGGGAAGGACGTGCCCACGGCAGGCACAGCGCTGTCTCCATCTGTGATCCTTCCCTTCTTCTCCTTCCCAGGTCCCTGGGAAGATGGATGAGAACGATTTTGTGGCTGTGACCAGCACCAATGCTGCCAAGATCTTCAACTGCTACCCCAGGAAGGGACGCATTGCCGTGGGCACCGATGCCGACTTAGTCGTGTGGAACCCCAAGGCTACCAAAATCATCTCAGCAAAAACCCACAATTTGGTAAGATATTCTTAAAACGTTTCTCTTGGGCTGGTTTTAGAGTCAGAAGAGCATGGGAAGGCAATGCACAAAAGATTGGATTCAGCAAGGGAGGAGCTGTCTGTGTTGGGCAAAGTGATGAAAAAAAAACATTTGCTTTTAAAATACAGGGAAAATATCCCTTGGTTGGTGTGAAGGGTGAGCTTGGTACTGAGATATCACTCTGGGGCAGCCTGTATCCCATATGGAGAGCTCAAGGTTAATGCATTCACTGTGGCTTAGAGAACTGTGAGTGCTGAACTTGTCTGAAGTATTAAACTATAGACTAATATGTATTGGTTATAGTTTACTATGTACTAAACTATGTGTATTATATATATACATATTAAACTATATGTATTAAACAATATGTATTAAACTGTAACATGAATATGTATTATAGTTTAACATGTATTAAACGATTGCTATAGCTTAATATCAGTTTTAGGATTTCGTTTCTCCATTCCAGTTTTTCAACTCATCCCATTGGAACTTTTTTATTTAGAGTATGAAGGGTTAGTTGTGTCCAACTGTTGATGCATGAGGAGAGAGCTTAAAACTCGGGGTATCATTGGCAAGACTGCCACCTCCTCCTCTTAAACCCCAGCCGTACCAAGTATCCTGGTTGGTCTTTTCCAGAACGTGGAGTACAACATCTTTGAAGGCACTGAGTGCCACGGGGTCCCAACCGTGGTCATAAGCCAGGGAAGAGTTGTCCTTGAGGATGGGAACCTGTGTGTCACCCAGGGCTCAGGTCGCTTCATTCCCAGGAAGACGTTCCCAGATTTTGTTTACAAAAGGATAAAGGCAAGAAACAGGGTAAGGAGAATTTTATTTGCCTTAACCCTGCATGTTCCTCACTCTCTGCATGGTCGTGTTAGGGTGCTGTGATGGCAAACCTGCAGGAGCAGCAAGGATCTTAGAGATTTCATTTGTCTCTAGGCCTCGGCACTGTGTATGTGGTGATGTTTCTGTCCATAATGCCAGTTTTATAATGTTATAATGCAAAAATAAGTCTTCTAGGAAGTTTTGGGGTTTATGTTGAGGTAGAGGGAGGAATTCCTCTCCTGCCTGTGCCAGGAAGTTTGTGTTACTGTATTCCCAGTGTCTCTGCAGCCATCAGAGAGTGGGGGATGTGTGTTTGTAGTTACTGGAAATACAGTAAGATAAACCCTCCTGTGTGCTGGCACAGCTTTTTAGAGACACACAAAAGGCATGCAAAGACGTAAAAAGCTTCTGAACAGCTCTGCCTTCCTCCCCATTTCCTCCAGTTTTCTGCTGTGGCAGACAGTTCCGTGCTGCATCCTAGAAGAGGGCAGAGCAGGGATTGGCAGAACCCTCAGCTCTGGAGTGTGTCCGGGTGTTTGGGGTGCCCGAAGACAGGGCAGTATCAGGCCATGCCAGCTCCCTGCGGGATGGGGTTGGCACCCAGAGAAGCTGTGGGTGTCCCATCCCTGGAAGTGCCCAAGGCCAGGTTGAAAGTCCCTTTAAGAGTATCAAGTCCAACTATTCCCCCACCACTAACCATGTCCCAAAGTGCCATATCGACATGGCTTTTGAACCCTCCCAGGGGTGTTGACTCCAGCTCTGTGCCATGCAGCTGTGCCAGGGCTGCACAGCCCTCTCCAGGAAGGGACTGACCCTAATCTCCTGTCTAAGCCTCCCCGGCGCAGCTCAGGGCCGTTCCCTCACCCCCTGCTCTGCCCACAGCTGGCCGAGGTGCACGGAGTGCCCCGGGGGATGTACGACGGCCCAGTCCACGAGGTGCCTGCGAGTGTCAGGGCGG